AAAAAAAAAAAAAAAAAAAAAAAAAAAAAAAAAAAAAGAATACAAAGTAAACTGATTACTGAACATACATTAGAGTTTACTGCCAACTTTCTGCTGTTTAACTTATTTGTAATGGAGCTCAGAATTTTATGTAAATATTTTCTAGGTTGTTCTACCTGTTCCTCCTGTCCAGCCACTCAGCTCAGGGAAGAGCAGCTCATTCCCACGTCAACCAGGAACTTGGGCCTGATAAATTGTTGGCCTGGTTCAAGTTGGGCATCAGTCGCAATTCAACAGTTGTAGTGTGGAAGCTGCACAGAGTAAAGATACCCATGTCCTAAGGCATCGTTTATGTGCTCTCACCAGGACACAAGTTATTTGTAAAATGGTCCACAAAATGTCAGTAAACTTTACAAACAAAAAGAGAGTCTGTGGGCTTTTTTTTCTTTTTTTCTTTCTTTTTTTTAAGGCTGTGTCATAACAGAGCCAGGGAAAGTGGTCATCAATGGCGATTACTTCTTTTTGGGTTTACCCTCGTGCTAGATAAACTGTGTATAGAAATCCAAGGTGAATCACTCCCCTTTAAGTTTGGTTTTACTAACTGATGGTTTTCCTCGTGGTGAAGAGGCGATTATATATTTGGTTTCAAAGACCACGTTCTCTGTGCAGATTGTAAGCTGAAACAATGTTAAATACTAATGAGAACTCAGGGAAAAGCCGATTTATTATAAATTAGATAACGTGGATAAAATGTATTATGTTTAAAGCCACAAGCTGCTGCTCTCTGGGATTGGTAGAAGGCTGGCCCTTTCCCCACATTCCCTTAGAAGAGGGGCTTGGTCCAGCTTCTCTCTTTAATGCACTGTAATGCATTTAATGCATTGTAAATATCTTTTTCCACAGACAAAGAAATACGCTGATGTGATCATTCCTAGAGGTGCAGATAATCTAGGTGAGTCCTCATGGGGTGCCATCCCGTGGGGCATAACTTCTACCCTTTGTCACTTATATGTTGGGGTAGGATATGGTAACCAAACAAGGCTCTATAGATGTGGTTGAGCCACTGGCTGCTGCTGTGAGCCAGAAAGGTATTTATACCTATGCGTCTGGCCTCGGGGACAGGCCCCTGTGAATATGCATGTACATAAATGGGGGCAGACATGAGCTTGTGATTCTCTGGCAACAATCAGAGGGCAATAGATTACCTTCTACTGTCATTCCCAGTGATGATACCTGGCTGCCTTGTATCTGAGGCCATTTTTTAGCAAAAGCAGATTTCCTTCTTAATCCAATTTAGAATGACCTGCCACTAAGGTAGCCTTTCCTAAAGGGAAAGGGATTTCTACCACTAATGCATTTATGCGTTAGCTTTGACTTGTCTAGAAAGTAGGACTATCCCTGGACTTAGGCATAATGGGGCAGAGTTGAATTGTGAGAATACCCTGTCTTCTCATTCTCTTTATCATTTATTTCAATTTTCCTCTGTTTAAAAAGTAAAATTTTTGCCAAGCCTTTTGGGAGTTAGTCACAGCAGTGAAAATTTCACTGTATATTTCTTAAGGACAAGGCCATTTTCATTTACATTGCCACAGTGCGCCCATCACATCCAGGACAATTAATATTTACTTAATCTTTAACTTTCCTCAGCCTTTCTTTGTTTTTTTATGACACTGACATTTTTGAGGAGTACAGGCCCATTGTTTTGTAGAATGGCACTCAGCTTGGGTTTGCTTTTGTGTGCTCATGACTAGCTTCAGCTTATATAGTCTGGAGAATACCCTGGGAGAGGGGTGTTCTTAGGGCATCACCTGAGAGAGCACTTGATGTTTATCCCATTTTTGGTGATGTTAACGTTGATCATTTGCTTGAAGCATATGATTTATTTCCAAGGCTAAGGAAAGAGAGTCCCATTTGACCTTTGGAGGAGAGGGCCTTCTGTGGGGTCCCTGTCCTTGGGATGGGGAGCTGCATGGGATGGGGACCCAGTGGAAGGGTCTCACAGCTAATTGATGGTGTCAGAGCGAAGGCCACACCTCATGTCTACAGAATTTGGGTCGATTGCTTTCATCCAGTCCGTGCCTCTGATCACGTCCTGCGTTGTCCTACTCCGAGAATGCCCCTGCGGGGGTCATATTAGCCCTGATGGAGGCTTGGGGAGGTGGCGTGACCTGCTTGCAAGCGGCAGAGCCAGCTTCCTGGAACGGTTTTTAGCCTTTGGTTCCTGAGTGCCGTCCACCCAAACAGACACACAGCCCCACAGACGTGCTCCCACCCTCCCCGTGCCCCTAACACTCTTCTGGTCTCTGCCCCACAGTGGCCATCAACCTCATCGTGCAGCACATCCAGGACATCCTGAACGGAGGGCTCTCCAAACGGCAGACCAACGGCTATCTCAATGGCTATACCCCTTCACGCAAGAGGCAGGCCTCTGAGTCCAGCAGCCGGCCGCACTGACCCCTGTCTCCTCAGACCCTGGCCCCGATCTCCAAGGGACAGGAGGAGGGGGCAGGAGGCACTGTGCATCTATACATATGGTTTCCTATGACATTGCTGTATTTAAGAAAACACCATGGAGATGAAATGCCTTTTTTTTTTTTTTTAACATCTTTATTTTGGTACTTCGAGCAGCGAAATGAAACAGAACTTGACCCTGAGCTTAAATGACAAACTGTGCCAACTACTACTGGTGATGCCTAATTATGACTTCAACGTGTAACCAGTTATAAATACATACATATATATATATATATATATATAGAAAAGGATCTATTTTTGTGTAAATGTACAAATACTGTACAGCTGTTTGCCGTAAGTATTCTGCAGGAGGGCCTGTACTTGAGTGTGTTTCGGGGGCTGGAGCTGGAGATTCACCAAAGGGAAGTTGCCTGGTGGGTTCCAGGTGGGGCAGGCTCAGGCATCTGGGAGGGAGGCTCACGGCTCGCGGCTCTCAGTGTCTGTGGGTCTCGTTGGAAGTGGAGTTTGGAACTTTTGATCGCTTCCCCTGCCAGATGCCACCTTCTTGGTGCTGGAGCTTTAGGATAATGTTAATGAGAGATCCTCTTTTCTTTTCTTTTCTTTTTTTTTTTTTTGAGTTGAAATTAGGCAAGACCTCAACTCAAAACTCAAACTCAGGGAAGGGGCCCACTGAGGGGAACAAGTCGTCTTCTTGCCCCTGCCCACCTCTGGCTGCTCGGGTAGCTCCACACTTCCTTCCTTACTCACCCGCTTCTCAGTCTCTCCGAAAGCCAGAGCTGCCTCGCTCTCCTTCCCTGGTGGGGATGTGACGGGGTCGCTTCCTGACTGAGTGGGGAAGGAGGGAGTGGGACTATGCCTTTCGTATCGTCTGAGATGCTGGTGCCTCCCAAGGAAGTCACCCATGAGATTCCTTGGGCTGTCCCCCAAGCTGTGGAGTGCACAGTGGACCCTTGCAGTCTGGGCCTCGGTTGAGGACCTCTGCTGGCAGCCTGCCCCTCACAGGGTGGCAAGAGAGCTCTGCCGTGTAGGGATCCTGTAGCTTTTGTTCCCCGAGGAGTGGGGATTTGCAGCGAGGTGAGGATAACGGGGACCGTCACTGGCAGCATCACAGCCACATTTATTGACTTATTTACCACGCTGCCGCGTCACTTGGCAGCTGCCGGAAACGAGGGGCGGGGAAGGGGAGTGGCGTTTTTTGTTTGTTTGTTTTTGTTTTCTTGCGGTACGCGGGCCTGTCACTGTGTGGCCTCTCCCGTTGCGGAGCACAGGCTCCTGACGCGCAGGCTCAGCGGCCTTGGCTCACGGGCCCAGCCGCTCCGCGGCACGTGGGATCCTCCCGGACTGGGCCACGAACCCGTGTCCCCCGCGTTCCCCGCGTTGCAGGCGGACTCTCAACCACTGCGTCACCAGGGAAGCCCGGGAGTGGGGTTTTTAAGTCACAAGTTGGAGTCTTGGGCTGAGAACATTTGGGGTGGAGAATTCCAGCTTTTCCGAGGGCTCCCTCTTGGTGAAAACTTCCTTCTTTGCAAGAAGTACGGATTCCTGAAGATTACTGGTGGGGAGGGGTGGAGGAAGCAGGGGACGAAGCAGGGGACGAAGCGAGAAGGAGGAGGTGTGATTATAGAGGCCTGAAGCGTCACCTTTTAACTGCAGAAGAGCCAGAACCTTTTCACCTCAGTGTGTACCATCTCAGTGCTCGGTAGGCTATGCCCTTAGTTATTTCCTTGTGACTGCCACAGCCTGAAACATTTTGGGGAACGCTTCTCCTTCCATTGCTTTCATAGCCCCTTGAGCCATTCAGATAAACTGATGCCGTTAACTCTAGTCCACGGAAGCAAGCAGCACCATGCAGTTTGCTTCCCCTTTTCTGGACTCCATTTGACTCTAACTCTGTTGGGCTGTGTCATAAAGTCAAACCTAATCCCCAACGGGGCTTTGCCACCCCTGAGACCTTCAGGGGACCGTGCTGCAGGCTCTGAGGGAGCCCCCCAAGGGCAGCAGCTGCCTGGTTGGAGAAGGGGAGGGTCCCGAGGTGCCTGCTCCGAAGGCCGGTACCTGGCGGGATGGCCAAGTTCTGGAGTGCGTGCTTCCGAGGCAGTATTGATTATCTTTCCAGTCATGCCTTGTGCTGTTCTGAGATCAAGGGTAGATGGCAGGATCCTGAGGACCCAGGGGTCTCCTGCCTTGTTGGGTGGGGCCTGTCTGTGCTCAGGGGAAGCCCGTCCCTGTCTGGGAGAGCCTTGGCCCTTCGGTGGTAGCATGGTCAACTTTACTTGAAGTTCCCAGGTGCCAAACCATTCAGTGCCTTGGCTGTCTATCCCACTGCCTTGGAAGATGGATTCTTCTCATCTCTGAGCCTTGAGTTACTTAGCCGCTTCCTCATCTACTCCTGGTGTTGGGACCAAGCCTCCAGTGTCTCCGAATAGCCCTGTCCTCGCTGGAAGCAGCTCTAGGGCTGCCCTGCCTCTGGGTAAAACCATCACCAATTCTTGGTGTCTTGGTTGGGGGCTCACTGGGCCGTGCTGACGACTCCTCTGGTTCTGTGACATAGTACCTCTGGGGCCAGGAGGGGACAGGAAGCTCTGCCTTTGTGTGGTGACCCCAGCGTTTAGCCAACTGAGTATCTGAATTTGAGCTTTCTATGTGGCCAATCCCGGACTTGGTATTTTAAGAGTCACTGGGTCTCTGATTCCATTGGAGAGTCAGGTAGAGCCATTAGGCCAGAAATCATGACATGAGTCACCTGGGTACTCTTTGCTGTCCAGGGAGGCGACGTGGATGAGCAGAGTGGGGCAGTGTTGGTCGTGTGTACATGGGAGTCTCTTGTCTTCAGAGATACCCGGTGGTGCTTGCTTCTCCCAGCTGCGCGGGTGTTGTCCAAGGACCATGTGTTTAGGGAACAGGCATTGTGTCGTGGGAAGGCCTGGTCCCAAGCTCCTTCACCCCAGTGGAGCTTCTGCTCCCTGGGTTTCTTGTTCTTGGGCAGCCTGAGACCAATAGGGGCAGAGAGATGGCAGTGTGTGTACGGAAGGTGCAGTGTTGTGACCTCAGGCGTCCTTTGATTTGGAATGGATAGGGTAGGCCCTCAAAGAGGCAGCGGTCTCTGAAGAACAGGCTGGGGAGGGTGGCAGGGAAAGGTCTCCGGTTCACCCTTCAGAACCTGTTGTCTCTGCAGCAACCCACTGTGGTCTTGGCTGCTGGGCAGAGTCAAGGACACTGGCTTCTTGCCTCTCCTGAGCTGGCTTGGACACTTGTCTCTGTGTCCAGGGTGGGTTGCCAGTCTCATGAGGCTACTAGGTCAGGCTAAGGCTTGTGTGCGGGAGGGACTGGAGCTCAGCTCGTTTGTGGATCACCTCCTTTGCTGTCCTTGTGAGGCTTCCCTGATTTGACATCCTTGACCTGCACTAGGGCCCAAGGCTATTGGAGGGAAGTGGTAGCCTCTTGCAGGGAAGTGTTTTCCTCTGCCCTGGAGTCTCCCACCTGCCTGTCCACAACCGTGTGGGTGAGGCAGGCTAGGGAGGTTCTGGGTCCCAGAGTTGGGCTTCTGAGAAGGGCTGACTGGACCTCTCTGCCACTCCTCTGCTTCACCCTGACCTCAGGGTGTAGTGGGGAAAGTCTCGGTGTCCGAGCAAACGAGAGGAAGAGCAGGCTGAGGAAACCGTCGGGGTGAGCCTGGAGCTGAGTCCCCTTTGATCTTGGTCTCTGGGCCTTCTTAGGCCCTGCTGGGGCAGGGGGCTGGCCACAGGTCAGCATCCGGCCACCCTTACAGGCAGTGAGTGCCTAGCCAGTCCTGCCTTAGGAACAGAGTGAGTAGGTAAATAAAGACGCAGGCTTTTTCTTTGTCTCTTAGATGCTTGCGCTTCCCCCTTTTCTTTCTACTGCCCTGCCTTTATTGTTAGCAGTTACATAAATGACCACATACTCTGTACTTTGCTGTAAATAAAGACTGAACAGAAAAGAACCCACTCTTGCCTTCTTTGTGGTGCTTGGGCCGGAGGAACAGTGGCTGAGGCCAGCGAGCTGATGGGAAGGTAGCGCCTCCAGGCCTTCGCTGTGTGGATACGGGCACCAGCCTGCTGTCACTATGCCTCCCCTCCTGGGCTGCACCCAGGCCGCCATGTGTGCACTTGTGTGTTTCTGCTCTGCTTCTGAAGCCAGGTCAAGGTCCCTGGGAGGCTTCTCTTCCCTGGCTCTGGCCGGCTCTGCTCCCTCTGAGGTCATCCGGTTTGTGCAGTCTCCTTCCTACCTGCCCTCCCTTCCCCATCCCTTCCTCAACTTTCACAATAAAAGCCAGAGCAAAACCTTCTAAATAAAGAAGACTTTATTGGGGTTGGGTGGAGGAAAGTTGACATTATGACAATGTGAACAAATTCAGGTTGAATTCACATACATATATGTGTGTGTGATCACCCTGGATGACTATATCTATTTAGTTTATAGTCATACATCAATCAAATGCAGATAATCATCTATCTCTTGTTACTGAAAGATCTAGGTCACCCACCACCGAGGATTTTAAAATAATTAAAGTAATTGGCTTTTGTGCTTTTTGTAGCACCCGGACTCTTCCCCCCGGCCCCCCCTTTTCTCAGCTTCCCTTTCATCCCTTCACCTGCTGCCTCCCAGGCACCCAATGACCCTCATCGATGGGCGGAGTTTCCCTGCTATTTCCAGCCGCTTGTTCCAAGGACAGAGGCAAACCCTTCAAGGAATTCAGATCCAAAAGAACTTGGATTTAAGAGGAATCCATCCTCAGAAGGCCACTGTGTTTTTCCATAACACTTAGGTGTGTATTATCAAGCTCCGATTATTACCTGCAGGGAGATGAAGACGTGAGTCATGGTTGTGCAAGCCGCTTTAGCTGTGATCCAGTTTGCTCTGTGCATTGCTCTCACATTTCCCCTATCTGTGGACCATGTCTGGAGTCCAAGCTTTGCTTGGGACTCTGCTCATTTCTCAGAATTCAGTTCTGCTTCCTTGTTGTAATTTGAGGCACAGTTGTGCAGGCCAGTGAAGCCCTTGAGCGATTTGCTTTGCCTCCCGCCTGTCACAGCATCCTTTGAGCCACTTACTGCTCTGCATCCTGGACTCACCCTTCTGACGAGTGAGTGCTGCTTTAATCAAACCACATCGTCTCAGACTGAAAGAAACCTGTTAGGACCTGCATAAAAGTTTTAAAGATAAGAGGTGGAGGAGACGGATGGGACCATAGGGAGTGATTTCTTTCATCATCTGGTGCTGGGGGATGTTTAGATTTCTATTTTAA